TCTCAGTGAGCTGTAAGCATATCTTTATTCACTCCCTGAAGTCTCATTTCCTGGCTCTCTATTAAAGCACTTGCCCTCTGCTTTCTCCGAACATGTCCCTCCTGTACACACCGTGATTATCGCTTCAGTACACTGAATATCTTCCAGGGAAGGGCTCTCTCTAATTTAAATTGGTGAGGATGGTTGCAGAGGGAGCGTTCAGAACCAGTGGATCGGATTCTAGTGCTTTTTAATACTCCAGCAGTAATTGAAAAGTCTGAGCTTCTCCGCACTTGACAGACAGTGGGTGGAAAGTAGCTCGAGTATTTTCCAGCCAGAAAAACATCACCCGGGTGAGCAATTAATGAGCCGGCTGCTTTTGTAAACAAGCACCTGTTATTTGGTGTTGGGCTGCACGTCCAAGGCCATGTTGTCATGTCTGTGATGGGTCCTTGGACAGTAAGAAACGGATTCCTGTCAGATGGAGATTTTCTGTTCTTGCGTCTGCCTGAAATAATTGGATCAAAACGCACTAAAAGCAGCAAACCTTTTTTCATCTGTGATGTGGTTTCATTGCTATGGCATAAGAGTGCTCTTCATGCGAATTGCAAATATTTTAATACATCCCACTGGAGTAAAGTGTAATTTATGATGTCCTGGCCTTATTTCTGCTGTTTCCTCCCCTGTTAAGGCCACACAAGCAACGAGCCCTCCTTCACCTGTTTTCGTTGTTGAGTTTAAAAACTGTTTGGCTTAGATCCCTCAGTTGAGTTGCATTTTGTTTTGGCTGGACAGCCTTGAAGTACAATGGCAGACAGCACGTCCAGACTTATTGAACCCTGGTGTTGGATCAGCTCTGCTGAGGCTCAAAGGTACAGCGCGTGGCAGCTTGATGGGACAGTGTGACCTCATCCTGTCCATCAAGGTGCGGCTGCTGTGTGGGTTATTCACATGGGTCCTGTGCCTTTTCTGATCTACAAGACATCTCTCCATTGTTTTCAGCGCCGAGTCCCACTAGAAAGTTCAGGCTGAAGAGTAACTTTCTTATGAGGATCCCACCCTTGAGCCAGCCAGGCCTGTGTGGATCTGTGAACAGCTGAGGTCTTTTCTATTACTCTGCAGCTTGATTCGGGTTATAATGGCAAATGCCTTTGACACGCTCTCCAATTTGAATATCCTCATCTCGAGCAACAGCTGCATTCTTTTCATTGGTCCTCAGTGCGAGGCTGGTCCATCCTCAGTTTCTGAATTTGTCAATGACATTGCAATCCGGGAAGTTCCAGTAGGAATATATATTTTTTCTGATCTGCATGCCTTTTCAGAAGTCCAGCTGTCTCTGAACAGTTTTTCTGGGTCACTTGTGTTTGCCTACTTTGAACCTCAGCTTCAACAAGATGGCCCCTCTGGTCAAAGACTATTTCACACCCCAAGAGCTACACCTGCAGTGCTTGAGTCCTTGGAGAGAGAAGTCAAATCCTCTTAAAGGAGCCCTTTTTGGTTTGGAGTGACAGTGTGATCTGTAAGAAATAAGAATGAGACGCAGCTCTAGTCACATTCCTTAATGACCTGCTCAAAAGTGTCAGTGGTGCTTCTCCTAGTGTCCTTCACACTGTTTACTGGAGCAGTAAATCATTCCAGGGCAGCCTTACCAGGACTGTCAGGTAAAAGGTACAAAAACAGTAGTGTAAAAAAAAAACAAGTTGTATTTTATGCAGGTCAAATGTTAAACTGCTGAATATATGATGCATGTGTTTTAGCAAGCCATTTTATTTTCAGCCAGATTTCAATATTTATCTTTGTTTCCAGGTAAATGTACTTTTTTGCTTTCAAATAATCCAGCAACTCAAGGGCACAGTAAAACTGTTGTGAAAGGCAACCGAATTAAAGGCACGGTGTATTTAAAAGACAGAGGAAATAACTTTTTTTCATTGAAGTAATAATGCTTCTTTCTGCCTCTGCTGCCGACGTGTGCTATTTTACATCTTTGTGCGGCATTTTTGCATTTGTAAAGCTTAGCAAAACAAATTAAACTCTGCGGGATGTCAGAACGATGAAACAACGTGAAACCACTGTGAGGCAGACTCAGTGTTTTTCATGACCAGGGAGCAATGTTGAGCTTTCCTTTTAATCGAAAGGTAATCTCCGAGATCAATAATTTCAATAAATATTCAGGAAAGACAGCCTGCTGAGAGCTGCTTTCATACACTGTGTACTGACAATGAGAGGACATTTTTAATACATTTGCCAACAGCTGGTCAAGTGCTCTTTTATGTTCTTCATTTTCATAGGCACCGTGAATGTTTGCTAGGTTGAATGAAGCCACATACAGTATGAAAAAAGACTGACAATTTTAGCCCCAGGAGAGTTACATCCCCACTTCAAAAAATAAAATCTATGTACTCAGGAGATCTACAGTATCTGAATGTTTTTCTAGAATCATGAGTCTAATGTCCTTTCCAGATGTATCCTATTTTGTATGATAAACTAGATGGTGATATTGAATGTTTTTCCCTTGAGTCCAAGCTGTTCATATTTGTAATAGGTTTTCAAATGCAGCTCCAAGGAACAAAAAGTTACCATAAGGTCTTGAAAGCTCTGAAAGTTAAAACGGAGAAGTCCAAGGTCTTATAGATCAGTGATGTTGCTCCATCCAGATGTTCATTCTCCGTGTAGCTCGAGCAGAATCAAAAGGTTTTTTTCTTACTGTGAGACTGTGAGACTCCTTGCTTCACATTCACCTGCAATTTGAATACACCGCACTTTATCCTTTTGCAGTAATTGCTTGTTAGTGTTTTGCAGGAATTTCTTTTTTGCATTTGCCTTTAAAATTCAAACCACTGACTAAATAATTCAGTCACCAAAAAAAAGAAGTTTTGTGTGAAAATGTCCAATTACAGATTTTTTTTCATATAATTACATATTTCATAATTATGTATTATAATTATATATTTCATATAATTCTAGCAACATTGTTCTAACTTCAAGCTCTTCATATGTTTAAATCCTTAAACCAGGGAAGTCAACAGAGCTAATCCTCACCTGCAATGATGACCTGGAGAGTATCTATTTCTACAGCAGGGGGGTTTAGTAAAGTTTAGTGAAGTTTTACTGAAGTATCTCATTCAGGAGCTTGTACAACAGTAGTCTCCCATCTGGAGTTTGAACCCATAGCTCTGATCTGATCTGTAGTCCAGTACTCTAACTAGTGTTCCACCCTACAGGAAACCCAGAGGAATTGCCTGAAAAGTGCCTATGCCTTGTGTTTCAGGTCAAAGAAGGCAGAGGGCATTTCTAATCTCGCTGTACGTACAGCTACATCTCCCTCTTGTTCTTCTCAGTGGATCCTTTCAAACATCTGTTTCAAAATGATCTCAAACCATGATTATAAAGTATCAGATGTACACGCAGAAGATTAGGAGGAATGAGATGGATATATCCCAGCCAGTTATGCAAGAGTGCAAGGAGTTACCTCTGAGGCTCTTCAGTTACACTGAGCAAGCTCGCCTGATCATGCATTACATAGTGGAGGGCATTTAACTGAGTAACATGGGCGTACTGTTTCATATAGTGAGGCCGAAAAGAAAGATCTTTCACTGAAATATTTTGTGCTTTTTACTTATGTTTTGCAGTAAAAAAAAATAAGTTTGAGTAGAGAAGATCTTCAGCACGTCAATGAAAATCAGAAATACTCCATTTTTGGTTGAAGAGCAGGCTTCCATGTAAGCATTCCATTGAATCCTATAAATTTAAGGCAGAATCTTCATCATAAAGTCTCATAAAATGTAAAACCAATAAATTGATTTTTTGAACGCGTGATCATCTACTTAATGTGGTGCATCTGTCTTGCACAAACATCCTGCCAGATATATCCACTGCTGTTATTGTTCAATAGGCTGTCTAATCAGTGGTGGGTTCATCTGTTAAAAGCCTGTTCTGCACAGTCAGTCTCACCACCCAGCAACTGAAGTGGCATTTAGCCAGGACCTCTTAAAAAGGTTCATGTGATCTTTAACGATCACGTGACAAGGCCCTCTGGTTAAGGTACAATCTGAAGCTTTGGCACCTTTTACTACAAAGCAGCTTTGGTCGCCTTGCAGGGGGCCATGGTTAGAATTTCTGGTGCAGGGCCAACAGTGCCACCTACTGGTCTCCATGTGCCACTTACAAGGCAGGGTTTAGGGCTGTGCTTCTGAGATCTGATGATAGCTGGGTATCCAGGGTGGTGTTGCAGTTTGGGATTTGCTTATTTAAACAAAGACTCTTCACTTAAATCTCTATTAAGCTATTTGTGTGCTATTTAGATATTAATAAAGGAATTCGTGTTTTCAATGAGGTGGTTAGCTACTCAGCTGTAGATGGGGTATACATATTGAGTAAAAACGAATAAAATAAATGTGACTGGCACTGTAAAGCCTGTGCTTCACCATATTTCTTTATTTTAGTTCTGTAATCGTTCTGAATACTCCCTGGTTCAAGCAGGTCAGCTCGATAGATAACTATTTGCTGTGTGTTTGTATCAGTTTGGTATAGGAGCATGAGAAACCCACTGACTCTGTCGTTTACCATGCGTACAGTACTGAAATGCCCCAGTAATTGTTCCGTCCACTCCGGACAGCTGAGATGTTGTCCATTTCGGACGCTGACGTAATCCTCATGGGCAAAATAACGGAGTCGCGCTCCCTTATAGCGACCACGGCGTGGACCTTCTGTGACAGGGTACCCACTTCATGTCTCGTAAAGAGCTCACTGGCCAATGCAGTTCCGTATCTTAAACTCCAATCGCCCCCAACAACCACACGCGACATTCTCTACAAATCCTTTCACCCCGTGAGCGACACTGGGTCAGCGGGCAGATACTTACGTGTTTAACCTGGAACAGGACACTCACTGTGACTAAGACGACGAGGTGAGCTGTTTTCAGGCAGACGTGAGAAACGACCACGCACAAGAACCGAGCTGGATTAGGCGGCAAGAGACCACCCCACCCACCCACCACCATTTCTTATTAAAAGACAACGGTCTTGCACCACATCTCTTAACTCTCTCTCTCCGGTGCTTTCAGCGAGTTGACGCACAGCCAATGTGTGAAACAGCTGCAAAGAAAAGAGCGTTTGGAGTTTATTGGAGTGACTAGAATTCTGTCTTGCATTTTAATCTTAATACCGTCAATACTTAAACGCTATCATTATTGTTGTTGGTAATAATCATGATGCTGATAAATGTTTGTTGTTATTGCGAATAGTAACAATGAAGTGTTGGTACTGTTGTACAGAATGATTTATAAGAACTGATTATTGTTGTTATTGTTAGGAAGACGGACTCCGAGATCGTGCTCCAGTGTACTTCTGTGTAGTGCACTTTGGGTGAGGAGCGAAGGAGGGCGTCTGGTGCCTGTCGGCGCATTGTTCCTCGGTGATTTGCCACGCCGAATCCCAGGAGGAGAGGGAAGAGCATTGCATCACCAGCCTAGCCTCTCGCCATTGGTCCCCGTCCCGTCCTGGATCCACACGGAAAGCCGTACGGATGATGTAAAAAAAAAAAAAAAGAAGATCGCAGCGGTCTGGAGGTACCAAAACAAAGGGGAGCGTTTATCTCGAGCAGGGGTTCGACTGCGCGGCGGTCCAGCATGTGCGGGGTCGCGGGCTGCCGAGGGCTGTGACGGGGCTGAGCTTGCGTGCATTCCGGGGTGTCGCCACGGCCGCCGAGCGAGGAGCCCCCGGTCCACCCGGATTCTCCAGCGCCAGAGGAAGATGGCTGCCATGAAGATTCTCACGAGCACGGGGCTTTTCCTGGCGTTTTGCGCGCTGGGGCTGCTGGCGATGGCCATCTGCACGGACTACTGGTACGAGACGGACGCCAGGAGGCACCGGGAGAGGTGCAAAAACTACGCCAACAAGAGGACGGACCCCGGATACATCTACATTTCCAATCACAACCTGCCGCTCCGCATGCCTCCCCCGGACGCCCACAGGACAGCGGAGGCAGGCAGCGGCGGGGCTCTCCCGCGCGCCAGGCGGCACTTCCTCGCGGCTGCCTCGGCGATGGAGTCGCACTGCAGCCGGCAGTTCAACTCCACCATCTCCGGGCTCTGGAGGAGGTGCCACCGAGAGGGCTTCGACCTGGAGACCGAGGACCTCATCTACAAAGGTTGGGACAGCGTGCCGTTATCAGGCTTGGTTGCATATTGTCTTAACGATAAACAACACCAGTCCAAACACCTTTTCAGAACATGCACGGGAATACCTATCAAACTGGAAGGCCCGCTGTCTTTTAATAATTCTCCATCCTATTAATCGATACACAGTGAGCGTGCACGCAAATACATCCGTGTACACATGCATGTTCCCGTTTAAATGGATAAAAAAAAATTGGTGTCTTTATCGTGGTGCAGCTCAGTGCCTTGCTACTGTTCGACGTGGTTTACGTGTTCCAAACGGGTTTTGAAAATGAGTGACACGGTCTGGCTCGGCTGGAGTATCGACTCTTTAAACGGAGAGACGGGAAGAGTAGTGTGAGGTGCTGCCCAAGTCATTGATCCGGCAAACGTTAACACTGAGTGTGATATTATAGCCCTCGGGTTCCTGGGTGAGTTAACTGCGAATCGAGTAATCGATAAATAAGTCTTCCGGGTTCACAGAAAACACAATGATGTTCCTGCGAAGCCGCCGATCGAGGTATCATTGCATTTGGGTTATGTCTTCAGCAGCGGGGTTTTAAAAAGACACGGCGCTGTTATCTTCCCGGAACAGATGGGGTTGAGAAACGGCCAGCGCTCCGCTCCGCGGTGCTGAGGACAGCGCCGCTCATACAGGGTAGTAATGGTGTACCAGCGCGCTGTCCAGGGTGCTGAATTCCTCTCCCCCCCTCCCTCACGTCTCCGCTCACACAAGGAACCACCGCGGGCTGAGGGCCACAGCCAAGCGCTGGGGGAGGGAGAGGGAGAGGGAGAGGGAGGTGAGAACTTGCGGTTGTTTCGATTGTCATTCCCGAAACCGGCAGCTGTTACCTTCGGCTGTGCGGCGGCCGTACGGCTCCTAATGGGTTAATGTCCCAGTAATGAAAAACAGCCAAGAGCAAAAGTGAATTATTGATCCGCAGACCCGCTGTGGAGGGAGACTGAAAGACTACACCGAAGACAGGTTGGAAAAAATAAAAATACACCGAAGGCTAAAGCCACACCCCTTAGAATACTTGCATGTGTTCGTAAATACACATCGGTGTGAGACTCTTCACAGGTTATCTTCATATCCAATACAGCATCCCTTAAGACAGTATTCATTAAGCAAACCCTGATGCCAGCACCTATATCACCCTTCAGCTGACAACACACTGAAGCTCAGCAGCTGTGAGCCTGGCCAGTACCTGGGTGGGAGAAACTAAGGCTGCTGCTGGAAGAGGTGTTAGTGGGGCCAGTAGAGGGCGCTCACCCTGCAGTCTGTATGGGTCCTAAGGCCCCAGTATAGTGATGGGGACACTGTACTGTAAAAAGGTGCCGTCCTTCGGATTAGATGTAAAACCAAGGTTTCTTTCTTTCTGTGGTCATTAAAAATCCCAGGGTGTTACTCAAAAAGAGTAGGGGTGTTACCCTTGTGTCCTGGCCAAATTTCCCCCTGGCCTTTACCAGTCATGGCCTCCTAATAACCCCCATCACTGAACTGGCTTCATCACTCTGCTCTCCTCCCCACTGAGAGCTGGTGTGTGTGAGAGGACTGGAGCATCATCCAGGAGGGGCTGCACACTGGTGGGGGTGGAGGGGATCCCCATTACCTGTAAAGAGCTTTAAGTGGAGGGTCCAGAAAAGCGCTATATACGTGTAAGCAGTTATGGGAATTATTATGAGTAATATTCAGAATTCTGATTATACGTGTTCATGAAGGAGTCCATTGCTGAAATGGCACGTAAAGTGTGGTTGGACTTGAGACAACCACTAGGACTGGGACCCCTGGGGCCAGGAGACAAACTTCTATTGCTCAATCGGGCCGGAACAAATCCCCAGATCCCCATCCCCTGGAAAAACTGCCGGAGCTGCCGGCCCGAGCGTTGGAATCCCACACGCCGCCCCCCTCATCCCGGCCTCAGCCCCGGCTGGTCCCGCTGGGAGGACGTGGGTGGGGACAGGTGGGGAAAGCACTTCTGGACCTTGTGGATTGAGACACCCGGCCCAGCCCGGTCTGCTCGCAGAGGCCCCAACGATGCGTGGGGCAGGACCCTGTGCAGACGGTACAATCCGGACGTAAGTGGAAAAGGACAATGGGGACGCGAGGACAAGGGACTGGGCAGGTTGACGAACGGGAGGGGGGGGAGCGTGACGACTGTGAACTGGTGCTCGGGGGGCGTGGCCATGGTGAACTAGTCCAGAGGGGTCCAGGGGGTAATCCAGGGAGAAGTCCAAAAGTCCAGAGTCGGGTGATCCATCCAAGACAAAAACAAGACAAGGTTAAAAAACCAGAACGGGATCTGGTGCAGGGAGGGGGAATAAAAGTGGGTTAACAGGGCCAGGCGCTCCGAGCCCCGGACCCAGATGGTCAGGACGCCGTGATGAAGCCGATGCCGTCAGGTCTCTCCTGGACCCGCTGGTAGGTGGGCTTCCGGGTGTCCGTCTCCCAGTGCTGAGCCAGGAATAGTGAGAGCGTCTGGCTTAAATAAGGAGGGGCTGGATAGGAGGCAGGTGCACATAATCAACTAAAATGTGAAAGAGCCGGAGCCCCCTTAAGAGGAGGGATTACGATCGTGACAGCGTGCAACATAGTAAGGAGTCCCGTTCATGAGGAGCTTTCCCAGAGCAGCCAGATTAGGTTCTTGGAACAATTAGCTGACAGCTGACCAAACGACTTCTTTAATTATAAGTCTTTAGTTTTTGCATCTCTACAATAATGAATATGATAAGCATGCCTGTAGTAGGTATATGTTTGAATACCAAAGTTCTTCTTTCCAAATAGAAAGTGTTTTCTAATAGACGAATAGCCATTTGAAATTTAAACCACCCTTAAGATTAATACAGATTTTCCTGCAGTGGGAATGCCTGTAGTCCCAACCAAGGCATTGCTAGTTGGAGATCTTTTGCCAGTGTCTTGGAAGCAGCAGGGGCAGCTGCCCATGACCTGCAGGGTAGAATGTGAACCCAAGCTTGTCTTGTTGCTCCAGCCTGTGTCAGAAAAGATCTGTCCACTACAGCACCGCTGATGTGTGTGCCTGGTCGGTGATTCGGTGATTCAGTGATTCGGTCTGGGACACAGGAGGTAATGACCAATGACAGACAAGTGGACAGGCCACTTGTTGAGTCCACTGCGACTCTTTCCTCCACTGCAGTGCCACAGTGCATTGGCCACTCTGAGTGAGTGAGGAGGTCTGGCACCATGCCTGTCCACAGAGCACGAGTCCTCAGGATCGAGACACCATTGAGTTCCTCTCCTGCCAGATTAGCGCAGCTCATTACAATAGCCAATAGGCACTAATTACATACGGAGTGGAAGAAGAGATGGACTTGGCCTGCGGGTGCTGAAGGAAGAGATAAGGATGCTTTCATTGGTCCATAAACATATCATGAATTCAGCATATGCTCTTAAAATTAATTATCTCCCCTCAGCCCGGCTGCTCGAAACTAACCGAGGGTTTTTCACTGTCTCAGCAGGTCTTGAAAGAGCTTGGTTAAATTACACATTCACCAGTTAATATGCACTGACATCTCTCAGCTCCTCTGAGGCTGGCTTGATAAGCAAGCACAGATTACAGAACACTGAAAATGTATCTTCGGGTGTTTACAATGGGTCCGAGCACGGGGCGTATTTATAAAGTCCAGTGCATGCGGCTATCTGATGGAATCCATTCTTTCCTGTCCCCCTTTCCGACCAGTGCTTCTAATTTGCTGACTCCCTTTGCTCTCCATTAAGTTCAGCAGCTCTTTGTTGTTTTAATTGCACAGTCATTTCCTCTTTCATTTTTTTCCAGCTTCTTTTTGCTTCGCGGAATCAAGCTGTGTTCCTGGTGTTGTTGTTTTTTTTTTCGGTGTGTGGCTTTTGAGTGACAGGCGTTTTAAGCAGAACAATGACTTGTGATTGTGTGATTGCCTTCGCATTTAGCATTTCTGAATTATACAGTCGCTGCTTTCCTGCGTGGAGCCTCTGGCAGTCCCTGCGGTGTTCTTCACAGGCGCCTCATCAAGTGCGGAAGTGCTTCCCTTCCCTCCTACCTTGACTGGCTCCCCTTAGCTTGCCTACAATTAATGGCACCGTTTAGGGAAGGGTAATGATATGAATGAGTGCCAGGCTTGGTGCACACAGACGTTCAACAGGCATCTTGTAATGGACTGACATCAATACTCGGCTGCCACCTGAGTTGCTAGACTGACCAGGCAGCTGTTGCAAGTAAGACATGCGTCTCTTTGCTTTCTCACACTGTGCCCCTTTGAGGAATCTCCTTCTGCTGTCAATGCAGAGCAGGGCCTGCTCTGAATTTCCTTCTAAAGAATTCTGCTCCTAGGCGCCCTTTCTTTTCCCGACTGCGGGGATCGGGTGTTTGAACTGGAAGTCGAAGGCGTTCTGTGTGTGTGTGTATCTGCAGGTGGTAAGAGGACATGTGTGGAAGAAATGGCTGGGTCACTGACTCGGGACCTGAAGTGCAACAGCAGGGCAGGTATTGCTGATTGCTTCGCACGCTGCACATGCGAATGAAAGCTCTCTTATGTAAAAATATTCATGCGTTTTGGTGCCTTTGTCAGCCTGTGCTGAAGGTTGACATAGCAGTTCCAGCTCCTCTCTTTGCAGAAGGTCAGTGCCAATCTCAGAAGGTGCACAGGCACACACGGCGCTTTTCCACAGGTATTATTTTAGAACAAGAATGAACAAGAACATTGATGATGAATTGCTTGACATGTGACTAATTTTATGCATTGCATATAGTGTCCAACAGCCTTTTTCCCCAGTCCTGGTCCTGAGGACAAACAATTGTCTTTTGAGCTTTTGGTTATTTAATTGAACTCCAATTTAATTGAATTAATAGGTGATTTAATTATTAGACCTCTTTAGCAATTTTCAGCAGTAAAACAGGTAGAGAGGTAGATGCTAAATTTAATAACTAACAACTGAGATGGAAAGAGAGCCAGTGGACACTAAACCAGTGAAAAACACTGGTTCATAAGAAGATAAGAA